GGCATATTCCAAAAAATTTCTTGAAGTTACTGTCTTCACTGGGCTTTGGATCAGGCTTGAGTACAATTTATTTAATTCAAACATACATGTCAATCCTCTATCTCTCCCCTCAGTTCCTCTCCCCTGCGGAAGACAATACTTCAGTACTCTTCCCCCTCATCCAAGCTTCCTGTGTAATTAATGTTATTGTTGATTCCTGCCCTCCTTCATCCCCATGCTCAGACTGTTGCCAAATCACTCCTTCTGCACACTATACACAAACCCAAGGCTGATTCTTTGTCTCTGCCCAAGCCACTAAGTCGTTCCCTGTCTAAGTCTCCTTTCCAGCCTCCTTTGTGTGGTTTCTACCCCACGTGGATGCACCAGTGTTTAAACCTCTCTCCTCCTGCCCCTGCTCCCCCCCCGCCACCTTACCTACCAAGCTCAATCTTTGCTTTCCATGTCTGAAAAATGCTGCTCCTAGCTACTGTTGGTTTGGTTTTTTATCACATCCCACCTCAGTCCCTTCTCTCCTTTAATGACTCTAGTGCCACCAGCTTCTTACTCTGCTGCTCCTTGTATGTCTTCTCCCACACCCCGGAGCTCCTGTGGTCTTTGCTCCCACATTGCATATCAGCCCATCGCCTGTAAAACACGCTGTTCCCTGACAGTTATCCTGACAGCCCACAGTTTGAGTGGCAGCCCAAGCCACACAAATTCCAACCATGTCATTTCCCCAGTTCTTCCTCATCTCTGGAACACTCCAGGTTCTACCTGATGTTCTCTGAACCACACCACAGGACCTTCAGCTTTCCTCACACATACCAAAAATCGCAGCACAGACCCTCAGTTGCCTCCCACAACTGCCAGCTGACCTGGGAACCACTAGGACTCCTTCTGTCGTACTGCCTGACTGGTGCCTGCCAGCTGGAAAACCAAATTAACAACCTACCTATGGAGTTAACATTGCAGCTTTTACCTCCTGGCGGACCCTGCTATGAGACAATCTCCTCTCCAGCAGTTAATCTTTATTAATAATGTAGAAACTCAATATTTGAAACCTCTCTGACCCATCTATTTTGGCCACAATCACTTTGCTGATCCAAAAGTTAGCAGCAGTGGAAAAACAGACTGCTTGAGCCTCATTTCCTTAGGAAACCTTACAAATACAGAGTCAACCCATTCCCCACCCATTTCCATCTTTCAAAGCTCCTTTGAATGAGCTGTGTACCCTGGAAAGCCTTGGCTCTTTTACCCTCTGTGCAAAAGCAGAAGCAGACATCCTGATCAGCAAACCAGAGACTCCCAGAGTCTGAAGCAGTAGTTGCTACGTTTAAAGCTACAGAGATGTGTTCCTACAGTCTGGGCTAAAACAAACACATACCCTCAGGGTACAAAGAAAGGCATGGAAGTAGTGACCTTCATCACCAAGTTAGGAAAAGCTCACTTGGTGCACTAAACAGATAACCACAACAGTCTAACAATTTTTACACTGCTCCATGCTGGAGGTCTACATCAATTACAATCGCCTTGAAAAGGGACAGAACAGCAGCTGTAAAGAAATCACTGAAGAGTCAACTTATTGTGTAACAGGAGGCAAAAATCTAAGTAAAAGGTCAGTCTTCCTAAAGAATAGGATAAGGATTAATGCTGAAAATCTTATAATCCTATTAGGCACATCAGCAGCAGCAATCCCCAATCTGGACCGCTACGTGTGCTTCTGGCCATTCTTCGTCAAAAGGGACACAGCAGAGGCAGAAGGGGAAAGGAGAAGAGCAACAGAAGTGTGTGGAAGCGCACTGGGAAGACCCAGTGGAAGAGCAACTAAATGCTGCAATTGTTTCTTCTGTAGCAAAGACTAATAACTGAGGTTATTTGTTCCTATTCCTGATACAGGGTAAGGGGATGTTTACCTCAATGAAGAGAACAAAGTCAAAAAGGAGGGGAGAAACCCTCTCTATCACCAGGAGTTAATCTGTGGAACTTAATAACTGTATTTATTTATATAATTACATTACATAGCATTTGGGGTTTGCTTTCAGTTTTCATTATTCAAGTTTACCACTAAATAAGAAAAGAAAGGATAAAACTTCCCACATTGTGGGGAGTGAGGAGAATATTAAAGCAACTGAACTGTTGGCTCCTCTTTAGCAATCTCTGTCATATTCCAGGGGAGTGGCTGCACCATCACCAAACCTCCTTCTGTCTCCACTTACCAGCACAGCCACAGCCAGCCCTGGTTGTTATATTCTTCTATTCCTTCTCCAATTCTGCTAGCGCAGTGATCTGACCACCACAGAGCACAGGCTAACCCAGATGTGACAATAGCCCCATTAGCATCTAGGTTATAGCCTGGGGATCAGCATCAGAGCTCATACCAGGACCTGGGAGGTCCCCACATGATGTCTTCAGTTCTGATGATTTGGTGATGCTATTTTCCTCACGAAGGGCCTGGTCCTACAGCCATTTACCTGTAAAATTAACTCTCACTTTCCATACAGCAGCCCCTGAAATAAATGGAAAGACTCTCAGCAATTCTCAGGAGTACTGGCCAGGACTCAGGTTACCACCAGAAATGCCTGAATATCCATTCTTTTGAGTATTTTTAACCACACAGGTATTTTCTGGAGGGTAACCTACTGTTACAAATATACCAGCATAGTGCCGTCCACATCCCAAGCCATCCAAATTTTGCTCATCTAGTTACCATGCCACCAGCGGTGTTTGGGCTGCCCAAACACGTAGAACATTGTACTACTACAACACAAATAGAACAGCCCTTATTTTGCCCAGAAATAACTAATGTTTCCATATCATTGGCACACAGCAGCCAAGATGGCAAACTTCTGCTCAAACACAGGGATGGACACATTTAGGAATGACAGAAATGTTTCCTGTTTCCTCAACATGTTCACTGGCTAGTGCGTGCTTCTTACGCATGGAGCAGCAGCTGAGCTGTCACCATGCCAGCTTTCCTTGCTGAAACCACCAAGAAGAGTGCCAATAGGTTTGCGTTCCTTATTATCAGTCCTAATTAATGTTCACACAGTGCCACAGATTAAAAATAAACGGCATTGTCTTTGCACCGAAGGTTCCCAGTTTAAATCCAACAGCTGGGGATGTGAAAATAAGCAGCACACAAGGTCAGGGACGCGAGCCCCTTAACAGAACAAATGCCTGATATCCAAGAAGAGACTGGGGTGGAGGAAGCACCAGCTGCAGAGGAGGCTCCAGGCTGGTATTCCCTGGGAGATGGCTCCTGCAGATTCTTTGTGGTCATTTTGCAGCAGAATAGGTCCTGCACAGTGGCTCCAGGGCAGCTGGAACTTGCCTGTTCACCCTCAGGGTGACAGCTGATGCTATCCCCACCCTTCGTCCCAGGAGATGTGGACACCCAGTGATGCCAGCCTGACACACCTATGCACACCAAGAAAACCAAAAGCGCACAGTGCCTCAGTGATGAAAAAATCCCCTAAGGAAAGCACTGGGCCCTGACCCCCCTGAGATAGATCAGGCTCACTTCAAACTCCATTTGCAACTCAAATCAAACATCCTCATGGGGTCAGTTCAGTGCTGCTGAGGAGAACCATGCAGCTGTGCCCATATCACTCAGCCAGTCAAGCACTGCCTCCATGGATATGAACAAGGTGTAAAGCTCCACTTGGTCACCCAGCATGTCCCTCCCGCTTTAGGAAACATTCCTCCCAGCCTCCTTGGTGGGTGACCTGCTTAGCTCTGGCTGCTGGGACCTTGTCCTCCTGAGCACTTCTGAAGCATCACACACACCCACAGCGCCAAGGAAACAGGGCAGGCCCAGGAGAGCTCAGTGTCTAACACAAAGATGCCTCACTTTCTGTCCAGATCCACTTCTGACTTCTCAGCCAGGCTACTACAGAAGCAAACTGCAAACTTCATCTTGGTTAGTGTAACCTAACGGCTGGTGAAACCTAATCACTCCTCTTGGTGTAACTGCGGGGTAAAGGGACGCCCGACTGTCCTTCCAGCAGAAATAGCAAGAGCAAGGGCTGTCCTTGATGCTTCTAATTTAAGCAGCCTTGATCTTC